TTCTCCTCTGCTCTTCCAGAGAGAGACAGCACGGGAAGTGAATGTAATTTGAGGGTTGAGTATTAGAAAGCAGGCCGGTTTCAGCTGTAAACTGCAACCCTCCAACAGGGTGTTAACTTCCTCTCCCACCCTGTCCTCCTTGGGCTCTTATTTCCGGGTTCAAAATATGAGCTCTTCCATGTTTAGGGGCTGCGTCTCCCACCGCTTCAGATTTACTGCTCCTGGAGAATCAGAAGCCAACATGAGTTGCCTGTAGGCAGCACCTTCCCAAGAAAGGGAGGAGGAAGGACCACAACTCTGAATCCAGTGAGCGAGTGGTCAGTTACACAGCTGGGTACGGTATTTTTTTATAGGAAGTAAAGTTCATGAGTGGGTAATAGCTGTCCCCTTCCCACTAACAAATTTATCAGCAACCTTTCTAGTGATCAGTACCACAGGTTGTGATCAAAAGAGAAGTTTTGTCTAATCTAAGGAACAATATGCTAAACAAAATAAGCCAGGCTTAGTACTCTGGTTCATGTATTGCAGCCATATCAATTTCCTGGTTTTGATAATGTCTCATACTTATGTAAGATGTCTCTGTGGAGAGAAGCTAGGTGAGAGGTACGGGGGCCTGTGTGTACTATTTTTGCAATATTATGTGCATTTTTACCTAATTCAGAATGAATGTTTAAGGAAGGCCAGACACGAAAAGACCTCACACTGTATACTCCATTCATATTAATTTTAGAACAGAGAAGAACTTATCCATGGCGAGAGCTCAGAAAAATGGCTCCCAGGTGGGGTTGGCATTAGAGTGGTGATTGCTGGGAAGAGTGGGAGAAAATGTCAGAGGTGAGAAAAATGTTCTGTGTCTTGATAAAGGCGTGGGTTACGAGGCTACCTATACTTTTGTCAAACTCATTGAACATGCAAGATATTTCACTATAAGTAAATCATACCTCAACCAAAATAAACAATCTCATCTCCTTCCTATTCAAGCAAAATCTTCAAAAGAAATGCTTAAAACTTTTTTTTTTCCTGTCTGCCAAATCTCCAACAATGTTGTTTTCCCCAAACTCTGAAAGAAAAGTGAAGGAACAAAACTGGAACCAATAAGGCGGGAGGACCGAGCTTTCTGATGACCTTAATCCAGGAAAAGGAAGGAACTAGTGTGGAGGCGAAGGACTTGGATTTGGGGGCTTTTGGGGGTTGCTTGTGGGATTACAGGGCAGACATGTACAAAGGGGCAGGAAAAAGAGGGGCGACTAAGCCAGCCACACTCCGGGGGGCTCAGAACAGCTCTAACTACCTACAGCAGGGCTAGCACACCTTTTTCTAAGGCTGAAATTCAGTCAGTGCTTGGGCCGAGGAGCTCAGTGTTTGCTTAGCTTGTGCAAGGTCCTCTGTTCTATCCCTAGTCCTGAAACAACGAAAACCCCACAAAGTCAAATGCGTGACTATAAAGAAAAAAAAAAATTGGAATACAAATGAATAAAAACATAAGAATACAAATTCAAGTCAATTTGGTTTCGATTGTTACACTGCGTAAGTATGAATTACCTGCCTGTCAATGTTGGTACACAGAGGTTTTCTTTAGTTCCAGCAAAGCCGCTTTATTATCTCAAGGGTGACACCCGAGAATCTGGGCTGGTCTGGGATTCTGGCGCAGATGGAAGGCTCTTCTCCGATTCCCAGGACTTGCTGAGGGCGATGATTCCAGGAATTCCTTCAACTCCTGTGCTCTGCCTTCCTGATTGCTGGTTGGTGTTCAAAGGTCAGAAGGGCCCTCACGCCTCCCGATAACCCATTCTAGACCAACACTCACGACCCCTGTTTCTGTCTGTGTCGCCTCCTATGGGCGTGCAATATACTACTGGCCTTCAGGGGTCTTGTCTGTTAGCTGGCCTGTATTTAATCTCCTTTTCAGAGGTTCAGGCAGCTCTCCCTAAATTGTAGTATTCTTGAATTTGGTGAACATGAGTAAGTTCACCTGCCTACTCTTAGGGCTCTATAGATAAACTCACTTCTCCACTTTGGCAGCCTGGGATACTAACGCTCTCACTTGGTGCAGGGCGGCAGTCCCTCGGTTCCTCTGATCATCTCTTCTCACGATGCTGCAATGTAGAAGTGCGTGCAGCCCTGACCGGGTGCGACTACGCGGAACCAGGGCTTTGGAGAAAAATGGACACTGGAATACTATTACTTGGTATGGGGATCATCAGAGAGTTGGGCCTTACTGGCAGCTGTCTCACTCACCACCAGAACATGCCTGGCCTGGAACAAACACTCCATAAACACTCCTGAGAGGGCTTTTGGTTGCAGTCACATGGTGATAAACAAATACACAAGCACAGACACAAACACACACACACGAGAACAGAAAAGCCCAGAAGAGCACAGAAAACTCGCGATCAACAGGTCAGTCTGTCTTCCTGTAAACAACGTCAGCCTACCCAGGGGAAGAGCGCTTCTTCTACACTGCTCCTTCATCCCATTATTATCAGCCTGACATCTGACTGGAGCCCTGCCTCTTAACTGGGGCTACGGCATCTGAGATGTTGCGGCTGCACTTGTCAAGGGCCATGGATATGTCCTCTTCCTGTCACTTCCTAGCTCTGTGGCGTTTACCAGTTTAATATCACCTGGTACACGTTTTCTCTCTACCACTCTGACTTCCCTCCAAGCCTGCTGCCCCAGGCTGCTTCCCACAGCCTGGCCTTGGAGACCCCGGACTGTATCCTCTGAATCTTGCCTCCCACGACTCCCCCAGGGAAGCCCTCTGCTCTGGACACCTTGACCTCTTCAGCAGCTTCTAAGCACACCTCATTTATTTCCAACCTGAGTATTCAGCATCCGTTTCCTTTTGCTCCACTTTCCCAAATCCTATACAACACTCAGGACCCGCTGCCACTGATGCTTTCCGTTCATTTGCTGGGCTCCTGGGGCAGCTGCGGGGAAACAGGAGGCCTCTGGCTCTGTGTCGGATGCTAAAATGTGCAGTTGGGCAACATGAATTCCCCCCAAAGTGCTAAAGCCATGGAGGTCCTCTGGCTTGCAAGTTGTAAAGGCTGGCTGGTGTTGCCTACTTTTACCTTTTTTTGCCCTGGTCATGTTTTCACTCTCTTGGCTTACAGACATCATTATTATTATTTTGGTAGCAGGAATCGAACTCAGGACCTCACGCTTGCCAGGCAGGCGCTGCATCACTGAGCTGAATCCCCAGCCCCTACAGACATTATTTTATTATTATTACAACCTCAAATACTTTATTCTTCAGCTGAACAGTTACTTTGAAAATGCCTCATCCGCTGGAGTTACCAGATTCTGAAAGGAACTATAGACAAACAGTTCTGCTCTAGCCCAGGCCTGTCTGGCTGACTACGACCTGAACGCGGGTGAGAAGCCAGGCAGTGTCACACACTCACAGGGCGGAGGTTTCCACCTGCTCTCCTGTGAAGTTATGTGCATATACGTTATCACACATATGACACAAACAGCTTTATTTTGAATTAAGTATGAGGGAATGTCCAGTCCAGGAGACTCTGTGAATGACAGACCTAAAACAATGCTCCCTTTCTCCGCAAATCTGTAAACACACACACACACACACACACACACACACACACACACACACAGAGTGATATAGCTGACACAAGCGGCATTTGGCAGCAACAGAAGGAGCGTGTTCTCAGGTGGTAGAAACAACAGGCCCCACTCTTCCTGCTGGACAAGGGTGTGGGGTGCGGACTGAAGCCCAAGCAGAGACCCCACCCATGCCAGATCCAAGGCGGGTTCAAAGGCAGGCTTTGGAGACAATGAATGTCTGTCTTTAGAAGGTGGTGAGCAGGGAGGCGGAAGCTCTACAGCGCCTCCTAGAGGGAAGAGGAAGAGCTCTGACCCAGTTTGCATCAGAGGATGCTGAGGCCCAGGAAAAGAGAGGGCAGAGGGGCGCAAGGCTCTGAATTTAGGGGCATAGCAGCGGCCCCATTTCCTGATCAGACATGCTTCTGGCCACAATAACACTCAATGCTCCTTTATACCAACTGATTTTATAAAATATCACCTATATAAAATGGGTTGGAAGGACCTTTTTCAACTAGACAAGAAATCCACAAGCTGTTGCACAGAAATCTTAACTGGCATAAAAATCTCAATATGGGATAATATTGTGCAGTCATTAAAAAGAATAAAATAAGTTTATAAAGTTGACACAAGATATTTTTACCACATATTGTTAGATGAGAAAAGAGAAATACCTATGTCTGTACTAGAAGGTATTGAGAACATCCGTGTTAGCTAACTTCGGACCAGGAGAAAAGGAAAGGGGGAAGTGGTCATAAATAGCTTTTAAAAATAACAGGTTCCACAAGAGAGAGTTATTGAAAGCTTAAATGTGTGTTACATGTATTTCCCAAAATGTCAAAGATATGTTATTACATCTCAGGGTAAAAATATTTCAGATGATTTTATATTCTTCCTTACACTTGCCTATATTTTAGCAGCAATTATAATCATTATATAATCAGAAATAACTGTTTTCATTGAGGAAAAAATCTGAACCACTGGCAATATGAAAATAGTATTTCTTAAGTCCTCCTGGCCTAAATATAGCACATCTACAGGATTTTGCAACATTCATGATCGAAAGAGATTTTTCACATTTGTCTTCAAAATGGGGAAAGTCCAAAGTCCTAAATTAATAATTACCATAAATATTTTAAGACTCTTGAGGTCAATGCCTAAATCTAATTTTTAACGGGCTTTCCCAAAGGCTTACAGCACGCTGAGTGCTCAATGAATTCTCATTAGCTGACAAGCATATTTCAAGTCACACAAATGATTACAATCAAAGATGCCTTATTTGATAGACAAATGCTATAAACAGTAAAATCTTATCTACAAAAGAACGTGAGAGCCGTCACGCCTGACTCTCCTCTGCTAGTCTCTTAAATCACAACTGCTATTCAGTAACATGAAAATTAATTTTGTACATCTGCTATTTCATGTAAAATACCTACCTGGACTAACAAGTGGCCTGAATTAGGCAAACAGGTACCATATTTCTTGATGTTTTCATTCATTTGCCTTATTAAATGTGCCAATATTTCCAGAGCACCTTTGCTGATCATTTCATTAAGAAACCTTGGATTTCCAGATAGGAATTTGATAGTCCCCACACAGTACAAAAAAGCTTCCATGTTAGTCTGCAGGTCTTCACTTCGCAGGACCTCCAACAGTGATTCTGCCCAAAAAAAGATGAATTATTACAAATGTCTAGTAGAACAGCTGGAGAGGAATATGCTAAAGCACTTGTATATGAACATGAAGTATACTATATAAAATACGTTTGTACAAAACTACATTTAAAGGCTTGTTATGAGTTACTCAAATAAGCAAAGCCTATGTTTGGCTATGACAAATCTCTGCAGCAGCAACCACAGCAAAAGGGTGGGGATTATTAATACATAAGTAAGAAAGTATTCTTTTAACTAAATGCCATTCCCTGCTGGTGCTCATATTTACCAGCCTTCATTTTTAGTTACAAAAAGTGCAAGTTACTATGGAATAATAATAATTAAAGCAATTTAATAGTTAAGTCTTAACAAAACTTTAAGAATATATTTCTATTGTTGCTGTATTAATGGAATATAAGTCAAATTGGGAGTTTAAAAAAATGTCAATCACCACATAAAAGGGCCAATTTGGTTATAATATCCAACCTTTTGCAAGATAATTTAAGAACATTTATCCAACTGCTAGTTTTAGAAGTGAGCCAGGCAACTCTAAAAGGGTAATAATATAAAACTCATATTTAAGTTTATTAATGTTAATGTGATCTTTTGCCAGATTCTTTATTTTTGGTCTACAATTCTCCATTTGCTGATTTAGTGTCAGACATTTCTTTCAGTACTGGTTTTGTTCCTGTCTGCCTGTGTTAAAAAAAAAAAAAAAGGTGCTGAGATAATTTAGATCATTTACCTTATGTTACCATAGAGGACTGAGAGTGTTTTCCCCATATCAGTAATATAAATTGATAAAACACTTTCATTTAGGTAACTAAGCATCTTAATTATTTAGAGCTGTGTGTGGTGGTGTACATCTATAACCCCAGCACTTGGGAGGCTGAGGCAGGAGAAAGACTGCAAGTGGGGACAACCTAGGCTAACAAGTGAGTCCAAGACCAGCCTGAACCAAATAGTGAGAACCTTATCTCAAAAAAAAAAAAAAACCCAATATTTAGAAATATGTCAAGAATTAGGCATGGATAGCTAGGTGATTTGAATGTAATAAAACTTCTCTACCTATATAGTTGATATTTTGATGTCAGATTTCTGTAACAATACAGATGTCTTTCAATTTTTTGTCATTCCTACTATATCAAAAGACCAACATTTTAAATTACATCATAAGCTATTAGATGTGTTTTTCTCTAATAGTGAATCATGACTAGGAAATTATTTTTTAAATAGCACATTGTAAAGCCATATATTATTAATATAATATTAAGAAAACAAAATCCCTATCAGATATTAAGAAAACAAAATGCCAGGGTCCAAATGAGGCATTAAATACAATGAGAAAACACAGAGAAGCATATGAAAAAAATAAGTAGCACATACACGGGGTAATCAAAATATATGGTGAGTGTTTAAATTTTAAAAATTTATTGCAGTTCAACACATTGCCATTAATCCCTCTCAAGCTTCCCTTGCTCCACACACACCTATCCCAACATTCTTGTCACTTTCTGAAGCAGTTTTAGAAGTCCTCTCATAAGTGTCTTTATATAGTGTGATAAAAAAAATATGGTGAATGCTGCTGCTGCATGCCCTACAAATGAAAAGTAGGTTTGTAAAACCTTACAGTATGTCTTTACCCACCTTATTCACCAGCTCTGGAACTCTTGTATGTCTCTGAAGTCAAAATGACCACGAAAGCTAAACATTTTGAATGAATTCAAAACATGGAGACAGCTACGACAGAGCAACTACAGATGTGCGTGAAAGAGGATGCAGACCTGCTTCACAAAGTAGCAAGAACAACAGCATCAGTTTGTGAAGTGAGGGGCAGTGTTCTGAGGGGGGTTCACGGCAACCTGCCTTTTTCTGTATCCATGTTTAAAAATTTAAACATTCATCATATTTCAGTCACATCCCATAACTTCTGCTTTAAGTAGAAAAAAACTATTCCTGCCATTATTAATTTTAAATTTTCTCTCCAAACATTTCCTTTGTGCTCAAGTACAGCATTTGCTCAGCGGTGCACCGAATGACACTCACCCAGAATGTTTTCATTTTGAATCAGATTATCGTTCTTCTCACTCCTGCTAATTTTAAATATAAGTTTGCAGACGTTCAGAAGATTCTTTCTACTCACTTTGAGCTGCAGAGAAAGAAAACACTTCCATTTCTAATGCAGAGGGAAATAAAGATATGCCATGTTTTTAAAAACACAAACATCTATATTAAAAATGCAGCAAGAGTATTTGTAAACACAATTAGTTCCACAGAAACCAGCTTTGAAAAGTTCAGGCTGGATACTTACTATGATAGCTCTCTCAAGCATAGCAAATACAATATAAATAACTGATCTTCAGAGTAAGGACATTTTAATAGGAACATTTACTTCTTACTTTGTAATGTTTTATATTTACATGTGAGTTATTAGTTATTTGTAAAGGGGTATGAGGAACAAAGGTGGTAAGACAATGTTAATATATTTAATCAAAGAGGGTACTAACACAAACATAAAGATAAGATACACAACTTTAGAGTAAAATAATTTCAAAGCAAATCTATAGTGGAGGTAAAAGAAAATTAAAAAGTGTGTCCTTTCATTTTGTGTAAAAGTATTAAAAATTAATGCTGTCTGATTAGATCATACATGTATATTTATTTCTGGGATGTTTTAAGATAATCATTAATGCTTAAAACTGAAAATTACCTTCTAAATCGTACAAAAACATCTAAGTAAATGAAACAGGGCAATAAGAAAGTATACTTTCTTTTTAAGAAAAGCATAGTATAGGATGTCTGACTGAATCAAATGGCCTAAAGTAGCTACGTATTTACCACTCTATCAAAAGTAATACAAAATATTTAATGTCTAATATTAGAAACTGATTTGATAAACCCTGAACAGTAGTACTATTCATATGAAGCAGTCACAAAAATTGTAACTAAACACTATGTCTAGAAACAAAATATCTGTAACTTCCAGTTAGATGGGAACAACTAGTGCCCTCCTTGCCACGGTGTAAAAAATAGGTTTACTGGCATGAGTCATCAGGACAAATAAATATTTCTGTGTGAAAGGATAACATATGGGTCATTATTTCAGTGTTAAAACCATCTTTAATACTGCTCATTAGTGAGTGTCTGTAGTTTTTTGTAATGGAATGGAATTTGTTAGACATATTTGTTAAGACTTTGCTCTGCGTCTGATCCACAAGTGCTTTCTGAGCATTCCTGTGCCAGGCTCCGAGTGGGTCAGCCCGGGCAGGAGGGCAGGGGGGCAGGGCGCCCGGGGAGCCCCAGCCCACCCCTGTAGCCAGGTGTGCGACAATGCAGTCTCAGGCCCAGCGGCCACACTGTGTCAGAACCCGCATTTTAACAAGCTCCCCAGGAGAGGGGTCCACAAAAGTTAGAAACACCAGTTTTCTTTGAAGCCTCAGAAACTAACACAGGGCAGAGGGGAGAATTCTTCTGCTCTCAGGCACGAAAAGATTAGGGCTGAGGAGGTGGTACCCCGCTTGCTTGGCCTTCTTAAGCCCCTGGGTTCAATCCCCAGCACGTCGAGGGGGGGCTGCTGAGCAAATGTCAATTCTGATCGCACAGGCCTGAAATCCCAATGCTGGGAATAAGGAGGGGCACACATTTCAGGCCAGCCTGGAATTCAGCCACTTAGGGAGACCTTCTCTCACAGAGAAGAAAAAGCTGGGGTGTAGCTTAGTGTGAAGGCTCAGGTGCTGTCCCCAGGATGGACAGGTGGTGCGGGGAGGGGGCTGGAATTCATAGGAATGCAGTGTGTCTTGTTCTTAAGATTTGGGAATCCTTTGACTCACGTGACTATCTCTCACTTAGAGAGCGAGTCCCTGAGGTCGTCTTCCTATGTGTGTTATGTGGCCTGTGTCCTACATTTAACAAAACTCACTGACTACAATTCAGGCCCCCCACCAAGTCTCACATTTAGTAAAAAATGGCAAAGAAAAAAAAACTGTTAAGGGTTTTATCAAAATAATGACAATAATGGGGGGGATTGTGGGGTGGGATTGAGAGTATATAGACCTCCTGCAACTTCCAGGGCTGCTATAATCCAAGTCAGTTCACATTCAAAGCGAATTCCTATCACTTCTCCATTGATAACTATAAAATTATAACTTTAAGACATGAAAAGAGCCAGGCATGGTGGCGCACGCCTGTAATCCCAGCAGTTGGGAGGCCAAGGCTGGAGGAGGATCACCGCAAGTTTGAGGCCAGCCTGGGCAACGTAGCGAGTTCAAGGGCAGCCTGAACTACACAGCTAGACCCTGTCTAAAAAAAATATGAAAAAGATAATAAAACACATTAGATACAAGAATTGTAGACTGCTGAATAAAACCAGCACTCCCCCTACTCCCCCCATGACCTCGGGCCCCGCTGTTCTTTCTCCCCACAGGGCTCGCTGTGCCCCGCGGCTGTTGGCTCCCCTATTCCACCGCCAGCCCTGGAGGACAGGGTCTTGATTCACTTGTATTGCCAGGGTTAAGGAACAATTCTTAACAAGTAAATTTCCATGACAGAGCAGTTTTTTCTTCTTATACTGAAAATAGCTCTTTATTCTACTTAAAGCAAATTTAGCAAATTAAAGAAAAATAAGTGAAGTTTAAAAGTCACTCATCACAGCCAGGCATGGTAGCACACCTGTGCTCCAGCACCCTGGGAGCCTGAGTCAGGAGGACTGCAGGTTTGAGCCCAGCCTGAGCTATTTTAGTGACTTTGCAAGAACCTGTCTGAAATAATTTATAAATAAATAAATACGACAGATTTTTAAAAAGGGCTGAGGATGTAGCTCAGCGAAAGGACCTGGATTCAGTCCCCGGTACTAAGGCATGGGGTGCTTGATCTCCCCTCCCCCCAGTATAGCTGCATTCATATTGTGCATATGTTTGAACTCTTTAAAACAATCTTAGTAAGGATTGACATGTTTTTGTAAGATTTTTTGATAAAAAGATTAAAATTAAAGTGAATGTCTGGCAAATCTCCATTTAACCAAAGAATGCAAGAAATCAGAACAACTACCATTCTGCTCTCTGGATGTGTGTAACTAGAAATAATTTAAATATCTGAATTACAGCATTAAACTGTAGATACATACTGGCAGAGAGGAAAAGCTTCTTAGTTCTGTGTATCTTTGGTCTTTGCTGATTCTTCAGTTCTTCTGACATGACTTTTCAAAAACTGCACATGGAAACCATCGCTGAGGCCCTGCCTGTACGGGCTCCTGCCTGCGGTAAGTCAGGCCCGGCAGTAGACAGGAAGCTGGACTTGGCGGGCCCCTTCTGACCTCATGTTTCTCTAGTTAAGCAGAAGGCACAAGCTGCCTCGCTGTGTGCCCTGGAGTTTAACCTACAGTCTCATTTTCATTCAGCAAGGCCCCCCATGCCACGGAGAGGGCTTTATCTAATCACACATCCAGTTTAGAACTTCTTCAACGGCCTGGAAGATCACTTAGGTTTTTTTGCCCTAAATTAGTCAAATTGTACCATGTACATAATTGAGTGACGTCATTAATAGCCAAGGTCAGATTTTCTCTGCAAAGCATTACGGGATTTGCAACTTGTGCATTTCTCTTTCTTAGCTTGATGTAGAACAATGCGTGCAGGGGACTGGGGATTTAGCTTAGCAGCAAAGCGCCTGCCTGGCAAGTGCAAGGCCGTGAGTTTGGTTCCCGGTACCGGAGAAAAACCAAAAAAAAAAAAAAAAGAACAATGTGTGCAGGATCTGGATGAAAAGAGTGAAGGTGATCCTTGGGTACGGGAGCCTGGGTCCTGTCCAGGGCAGCTGCACCAACAGAGCCCCATGGCTAAATCACGAACCCAAGGACATCATGCTCTGAGTCACGTATCACAACTTCTCAAAGAAGACTGACCAGGTTAGGATGACAACTAAGTAAGAATGTAGCTTCCCCTCCGAATGACATAGAATATGCCGTCAGAATATTCTGCCTTATGAAAGACTTCATTATCTAAAACACAGTGGACACTCTTAGTAAATACGCCAACCCTCACCTTCTCTGTGTACTTTATGATTTTACATTATGTGAATTATGGGGCGTTAACATAAAGCTCTTATTTTTATGAAGCCAGGAAACAAAGCTTCATTCATTTGTTTTTGTGGCTCTCTTAAAACATTCTATAATAATCATAGCTTATCTTTTGGTTCCAACTGTTTATGGCTGTAACAACAAAGCACTCTGCTCAAACAATGGCATCATTCTGTTCTAGACAAGAGTTAGAGAGAACTTCTACTGATTATTTGGTGGCCAGACTTTTCTTCTAACTCTTTACAAGAGGGACCTTCTGTGCCTGCTGAGAAACCTTCCTGTGGCCACACGCAGCCGTGTTCCTCTTTGCACCCTGGTTCACAAAGCACCTGGCCATTGTGTCTGTAACCCAAACTAAAGTAATTTTCTAAATCAAAAGGCAGAATCAAGCACCCAGGAGAAACCAGGGGATAGAGATGCTGGGCTGCACCGTCCAACAATGACCCTGGTCATGTTGCTTGTTTTGAACATATGTGTCATTGTCCCTTATTTCTTCCTTTTCTTGATTTTCTTTTTTCTTTAAAATCTAGTCACAGTCCAAGTGTGAGAGTGTATCTGAACAGCTTCCATGTACTCAGCCTGAGTTCCTTAGACAAATCCTTGAATGCCAGTGTTTTTTACCTGAATCTTTTCAAGATTCTGTACACATACACTGCATTTCTAATCTTCTTTGTAATATTTACAAATAAAGCACTTAACAAAGCTTGTATGTGCCACAGTCTACTGGACAAGAGGAAAGAAAAACTTACTGCTAGGATAATTTTTGCAAGTTTAAGGCTGAGCCAGTCGGAACCAACATCAACTAGTTTATAGAGGGTCTTCAGGAGAATACTTCTTCTCTTAAATTTATTCCCAAGCATGTTTCCTTCCTCTAAAGCGTGATGAAGTTCTGTGCAAGTGGCACAAATCGTTTCAATGTTTTCTTCTGTCAGAGCAAAGAGAGTAAAGCAATATTTACTAATTAAGTTTTCAAAGGTGTCAAACATACACAGTGTCAGTGAAAACCCTATAGTCATTTTCATAGACTTTTTCAAATTCCTGAACTCTGTTTTTGCAATTGGTTTTGTTGTTATTGTTTTGCTTTTTTTTTTTTTTTTTTTGCTACAGAGTCTCCCTATGAGGTTTAGGCTGCCCTTGAACTCACTATCCAGTTTAGACTGGCTTTGTACTCACAGCAATCCTCCTGCCTCAGCCTCCTGAGTGCTAGAATTACAAGCATGCACCTCCATCCCTGGCTTCATCTTCTTATATCTCTTCCACCTGCTTGATTTTTTCCCCATCTCTTTGACTCATCTCCTATCATGCTGACCTATTTGTTAATTAGCTAATTAGCTTATCTAGAACACAGTCTTTCAATGAGTGTATTAAAGAATGGAGCTCGCACCTCTTTCACTTGGTCTCCTTTATTCCAAATGCCCTCCCACTAGACCTGTGTTCTGGTTGGTCACACGGAAGCGCACTGTTTGCATCTCTGCCTTCAACCCTCTTGGCATAGTTCCACAGGCCTAGAATATTCTCATCCTTTCCCTAGTGATTTTGGTTCTTCAGGTCTGTGTTTTGGTGTCTGCTGAAAATTGCATTATTTCACACTCGACAAACATCACCTTGTATAAGGCAACTTTTCACATTTATATGCGTGTGTTGTGCCATGTACCCAGTGCCCTCAAATAGATGTCCTGCTAAGTCAGTAGGAAGCCTGTCTTACTCGTCTTTGTATCAACAGCATATGGTGCAGTGAGAATACTGTTCACATAACCTGTAACATAACTGCACATGTATCCATTTTCTATACATCTACTGATGAAAACAACATCAGTCTTTTCCTGTGATCATGCCTGCCATCTGATAAAAGAAGGCTTTCATAGAACAAAAGCTCAGAATGTCACCAAATCCACTATGACTGGAAAAGAGGAAAATGCAAAGGGGATTTTAGTTAGGAAACAGCAAACATGTTACTGTATAACTATGATTCTGAGGAAAGTCACTTTGGGAAGTGGTAGCCATAGTGAGAGGCTTACAAGGAGCAAAAGCACACAGAAGAGAACCTGAGAGGAGAGAAAAAATCCAAGATATAAGGTATCACACCGAAAATATTATCCTTGACAGATTCCATCACAATGCGTGAAAGTGGGAGACCAACCTTAAACAAATACCATAATGCGCTCTTAGAAGCCGCGCGGAGGAAGTGTGCGCCTGCAGGAGGAAATGACTCAGGCCATTTTTAGCTCTTTTCCACAATAACATCTAAGAAAAAATTTTAAACCTCAATAGCTAAAGGAACCTTCGGTGCCTTCTGGTTATGCACGTAAATAAATGAACTGATGGGAAATGACTTAGACCAACTTTAAATAAAGGGAAAAGTCTGAACTCTATTGTATAAAACACTCTGGTGGTGGTGTTTTATTCTTCTGTGACTGGCTGTTTCTTCATCGGCCCCAAGTCCAGGCCTGGGCTGCTCCCGGCCTGTGGTTGGCCCCAAGGTCCTATTCTAACACCTCTCCCCTTGCAAGCCCTTCAGCTTGCTGGGTTTCACTCAAGAGTAGTGGTTTTAGCTTAAAAAGAAATTAAAAAGCAAAAATCACAGATCGAATCTTAAAGTACTGATCAAATAAGCCCTCTCTACCAATTAGGGATAATTGTTATACACAGTAACTTTCCTCCAAAGATACTTAGTTTAAAAGGGAAAGTAACAACTTTGCAGAAGACAACCCTAGCAGACGTCACCTGGCCCAACTGCCAGACGTTCCCATCCCCAGCAAGGGATCGAATCCGCGTTGTGGATCTCCCGACACAGGCACAGAGAAACACACGGCATCTTCCCATGCCGGATACAGGCCGAGGGCCCCACCCTGACTCCCTGTGAGAAGACATCGGAAGAGCCCAGTTCATGGATCTGCACCGTCAAGGGCCTGTGTTCCTCAAGTATGTCAAGCTCACGAAGGAGATGAGACGAGTGACTGTGGCCCAGGATTTTCTTTTTCTACAAAGAAAATTACCGGGACAACTGGCAAAATGTATGTGTACTGGATGATAATTTCTACCAATGTAGGAGATGCCCTTGTGTCTAAAAACACACCAAAGGACTCAGGAATGTGGGGTGTCACATTGGAAATTTGTTCTCAAGAGGTTCTAAGAAGATAAAAACAGTGTGTGTGTGTAGGGGACAGAGGAAGAGAAAGGGACAGAGAGGGAAGGCAAAGCATAATAAAGCAAATGTGATTAAATATTAATATTGGAGGAGTCCGGGTGAAAAGTACATAGGATTTCTTTACTACTCTTGCACCTTTTCTGTAAGCCCGAAATTATGTCAAAGAAGTTAAAAAGGATCCAAATGGGTGAAGCAATCCAGCCTCACCACCACTGGCTATTCTCAAAGCTGTCCAGGAAGAACAACGCCTCCTTTCCGTGTAGAACGAGCCTTCTAAGAAGGAGACACATCCACACTTCGAACCTCAGAGCCCTTGGTGTCCTCGGTTCCCTCTGCTGGGCTCTGTGGTGGGCATAGCACTCGGCATCCTCTTCAGTTCTTCCGGCTGAGAACCTCCATACAACAGACCACAGGGTCATCTCTCCCCACTGCAGCATTTTCTTTTTACCCCTGACCCAGTCTCATTGCTATTCTTACTAGTCTGTGCACAGGTCTCTCAAAAACAGGGCCCAGAGTGCACCTTGTATGCTGAGAAAAATTAATGACTCTGGAGGGGAAACGTCATCATGCTCATACTGTTAGGCTATGGAGCTGTAGAAGACTTTGGAGGTGATCGGGTCTCATCTACCCTTGCCTGGCAGACACTGCTGAGCACAGAGAGTGGATGATTCCACGTAGCGCACAACTAGCCACCAGCAGCACCAAGACCAGAGGCGCTATCCAGGCCTTCCACGCTAGGCAGGAACACAGCCTGGCAACCACAGGGAGCCGAGGAGGGGAGTGCTGGAACCTGTAGGGGGAGGCCTCGTGCATTCCCTCTCCACTTCGGAAGGGCTTGTTTACTCTGCTTCTCCTGAAATATTCCTGTGGCTGCCAGGTGATTTGTGAATGGCTTTAGCATTCATCCAACAACTCCTACCCAGGGGGAAAAGTGGAGGCGTCCCTTAACTGGCTTCTCGTAGGCTTGAGAGACCCATCAAGCACTGTGGACCTTCGCTCTGCATCGCCAGGGCTGGGCACAGGCCACTTTCTGGGCTGTGAGTGGGGTCGCCAACACATGTGCTCAACGTGTAGGACAGCTACACTGCTGGATCAGGGAAAACAGGGGCACAGTAGCACAGGATGCCCGTCCATGAGACTCGCTCTGTTTCAGAGGCTGAAATCTTTAATCCTGTACAAACAGCCTCTCTAGAGAGCTTGAATAAATGTTTCCTTGAGTAGAGAGGGTGATCATTAATTTGTATGATAGAAGAATTTTAGAGGTCAGCTCTTTGGTGCATTTAAAGTAGAAGTCTACTCACTAAAATGTTAGTTTACATTTAATGTCTAATATAAACATTGTTGGGTAAATAAATAGACGACTTCATTTATTTTGGGACATGTGCACAGAAGTGATAGTCAAAGTGTACTAAAAATATCGGGGCAATAGGGAATATATAAATAACCATAGATATTTTTGATTTAAAACAAGAACTGTTTTCTTACCCTTTTCTAATTCATGCAAAATTGGTACAATCCTTGTGTTCCAGAAGACTTCGTCTACTTCTATTTCTGTAGCCTTTTCTTGCAAGTCGGCTTTTGAGACTGCAAAATAAATCCACAGCAGGAGAGTCACGGAAAGGGAATTGTAAGAGAGCACAGTCAAAATCATTTCCTATTTACCACTAAAATTAACAAGCTACAGAATTAAATTTCATTTTGTACCCAACCCAACTAATTCTAATTAGAACTACCAGCCTTCTAATCAAATTACCCCAAATTAAACTCAGGTAAGATAATATAAAATCAGAACATTAAAATATGACTGTGATAATATATTATCTTACCTGAGTTTTGTGGATGTTAGTAACTATCAGTAAGGTAAACCTCTGAGTCTTTTTTTTTTGGTCGGGGGAAGCAGGGTCTCACTAGGTAGCTCAGGCTCACTAAAGTGGCCAAGCTGTCCTTGAACTCAAAATCCACCTGCCTCAGCCTCCCTAATAACAGACTTGAGTTAATTTTTTCTGAAATGCACCCCTCTGCAATATACAGTAGACAAATGGTGAATAAATACATGAAGAAATGTTCAATTGCTGGCCATTAGAGAAATGCAAATTAAAACAAAACTGAGATTCCATCTTACTCCAGAAAGAATGGCCATCATCAGGAAATCAAATGCTGGTGAGGCTGTGGAGGAAAAAAGAGTCCTTCCACATTATTGGTGGGAATGTAAACTAGTATAACCACTATGGCAATCAGTATCGAGATTCCTCAGAAAACTAAAAATAGAAATTCAGTTCAACCCAGCTAGTTTCCTTTTAGGTATATTTACCAAAGTGTTACAGGCATATTTCAGTGATACATTCATACTCATGCTCATAGCAGCAGAATTCATAACAGCTAAATCTTGGAAGAAGCTTATATGTTCATCAAGAGATGAACAGATAAAGAACATGTACTTATACACATGGAGTACTACTCTGCCATAAAGAAGGATACATTTGAGTCATATATAGGAAAAATGGATGCACCTTGAGGCCATACTGTTATGTAAGACATCAGAAATATATAAGCTTAAATATCACATGGCTTCTCTTGTATGAGAAACCCAAAGTATAAATAATTTGAAGAGCAAAATAAAAAACAGATAATTGGAAACAGGGAGATAATTTTTTTGTAAATGGGAAGGAGACAAAGAAAGGGAAGCAGGGGGAGGGGAGACAGAGAAGGGAGGGGGAGGGGACGTACACAAAATGAAGACACGTTCTGTCCACACACCACTTTGCATGATGAGCGTAACCATTATGCGCTGCAGATATGCGCTAATAAAAATAAAAAACAGATGCAAGGACTTTAGAAAGGAAACGTTGTGCACTGCATAATGCATATGCCAAATAGGGCCATCAGGCAGAGCACCTGGTAGCAAAACACATGGATACTCACCCTGACAAAGACTGCAGCTGGCTTCGCAGCAGCTCAGATCTAGTATTGCCACTAGGTGGGTCTGAGGAGTATTTTAACTTTCAGAACTACAGATAAAGGAGTGTAGACTATCATCTAATCTTGCAACTCATTTTTATATCTATCTTAACTCTGACAAATTATACGTATGAATTTTAAAAGTAAATGTGAATATTCAAGCAATATAAAAATAGCTGCTCACAGTTCAAGGTAAACTGCTGAAAGTCCAATGTAGATGAAGAAAATCAACATTGATCCAAGGCAAGTGAAAGTCCAGAAGTTCAACAGCGATCAACTTAACCAGTACATACTTAGGATGGCTTCAGTTTATTAGAAAAGCAGAATTACGCCCAGGGGGCACAGATCACCATTTTGCCTTCTAAGCAATACGTGAGTTCAGCAGTGCTGTGAGAAGCCATGAATATTAATTTGTTTCTCAGGACAAGCAGAATCAGTAACATGTTAATCCCAGAAGAGCTGAATTACAGGAGTGAGCTGGAAGTCACACAACAGTTTATTTAACCCTCCCAGAACCTTCTGCATGTTTTTCAGACTTGTTTTGTCTCAGAAGAGCGGTGGGGCAGACGCTGTGGTATAAGCGTTTCCTTCCCCCTCTCCCTCCCAGGAATCCCTGTGTGGCATGGTGTCTGGCTATGGGCTTTTCACCTCTTCACCCCTCTGTATCTCCTCCAGCTCCATTCTACACCTATCTGTGAGTTATACTTGAAACTGAAGCATAGAACTGTGTGAGTGCTCTTCAACACACACACAAGTGCATATACACACAAATGCGCACACACACACACACACACACGTGCACACACACACACACAATAATAACCTTTGTCTCAGTCTCATGGAACAACCTAACATTTTAGAAAGCACTTTCATCTAGGTTCACAGTTTGCTAAATATAAAAATTATGATTCAACAGGAAATTGAGTAAGTGAAGCAAAAACTTCAGCATGTTTTTGAAGATTTTGCTGTCTCAGTGGTTACAGTTGTTAACCACAGCTTTGAGTTCTGAGTACAAAAACCTGACATGATGTTAGGATTGGCTGATGTTTTTAGCATGTAAATGTTCAGATCCTTAGCAACATGTCGTCTTGGAAATTAGAACATGTAAGATTTTCCTAAGTGCTAGAGAAATTCCCAATGTCTATGAAAGTTATTAATTGATAAGCAACTAGTTTTGAAGGTAATTACTTTTTCTCTTTTTAATTAGTACACATTTAGGGTACATAATGTTTGCCTTCCTTGTGGGGAGTTGTCACATGTACCCAACACCTCTTCACTTCTTTTTTCGTCCCCTTTCCCTCGCTTCTCTATCCCTGCTCCCCTTCCCATTTGAGAAAGATCTGCCTCCTACTTCCTATTAGCTAGCTTTTACTTTGCTTTTTATTTGTCATTTGAGGTTCTCATATAAGAGAAACCATGCAATATTTAAGCTTGTCTCTCTGATTTATTTCACTTAAGATTATGGTCTCAGGGTGCATTACACTCTATTGTGTGTAAATACCACATTGTATTTATCCATTCATGTGTTGATGGACATATAAGCTGCTTCTTCCAAGATTTAGCTATTGTAAATTCTGCTGCAATAAACATGGGTATGGATGTACCACTGGTAATTCTTAACCAAATATTAGTTCAGTGTCATACGATTTCATGTGTACAAAAATATGAATATAACAAACATTTGCATACCCACAACTACTTTGGTCAGATATCGACACAGTGCCATAATTTTATCCTTCCCTTTATTTTGAAGAAATTCAATGCTGCAGACACACTTAAGGCTCTCTGCGTCTCTCTGTTTTCTTCCTCTCTCCCCCTCTGGCATTACCGGCTTTCCAAGTTGGGTGCCAACTGTCAGTAATGCTTGCTTTGCATGTTTACTACATAGATCTGTCACCCCTAATTGATGTCATTGTTTCTGCAACTTAATTTTACATCTAAAATTATGTTTATATTCATTTCATTCAGTATTATAAATGTACATTTCTTTACTTTTCTTACTGCCATATTCCATTCCCTGAATACATCTTGTATTATTTCTAGCCCTTAACTTATATTGCCTAACTTTCTCAATTAAACAGTTTAAAGCGTGAAAGGGCTGTCTTAACATGGTTAATCGTTTCATTTAAGTAAGCAACGACGTTGAACTCAAGTTTTGAACCTAAGAACTATGCTGACACTAAGGCTTTGGCAGCTTTCCAAATGCTTTTACTAAATAGCTTCTGTAAAATCATTCAGACTGTAATCTATTGATGTTTGAGGCATCAGAGCTGGACAACGGTGAGATATTTGTAAAGTTAATAAAAACTTATAAAAGTAAACACTGCTATCTGACCAAGTGGGATGCAGTTCCTGGAGCTCGTACACAATAAGCAAACCTTCCAACAGAGCTGCTGCGAATAAAGGTGTGTCGAGGACCACTGGGACGGAAGCTTCTCACCTGCTTTGGTTTCCAATCTGCTCAGGTCCGAGCTGCTGGGGCACGAGGAGGCCCTGGCACGCCTCTTCCCCTGGTCCCTAGGAGGGAGAGGAAGACGCGACACACTCAGTGCATACAAGGCATTTCCATTCAGGCAGGCGACAAGCTGGTTATGTTCAGTTTCTGAAGAAACCACAAAGAACTGTTCATAAAATGGGGTCTGGTGCTCAGTCTCTTGTTCTAATTAGCCGTTTATTTCCAACTATGATTTAGCCTAGAAAAACGAGTCATAGTGGGACAATATAATAGTATGAAGTACAGCTACTAGAAAGCCCTGAAAAATGAGTCTGAAGTTTACTCTGCAAATCAAAGCAACTGGTTAAGGATATGGGCCACAAGAGGGCACTGTTACAATAAGAAATAACCGGTAGCCTGACTCCCAAACCCCACCTTCAGGAGTTGGGAGAGACCTTGCGCCATCTTTACGGATAAGGAAAGCGTCCCACTAGCCAGGTACACCCACGGTCACACAGCAGCGTCACTTCTGGAAAGTAGTTTTCCCCTCCCCCCCAAATCACTGATTTTTTCATTACATCCCATGTTCTGTTTCCATTTGAAAATTTAACATCCTCTCAAAATATTTTCTTAGAAATATTTCAAAAGTTAAAAACCTGAAGTCCCCACATAACAAGTATGTCATGTTCCAAACAACCGCCTGGTGGCGGGTTGATAGCGGGACCTTATACTCAGGCTTGAAAAGTGAGACTTCATGTAGAAACCATCTCTGAAAGATACAACTCCTCTTTAAACTAGAGCTGATACTTAAAACTGCTTGCTTTTAAATATCTGTATAGAATTCCAAGGCAAACAGCAGTGTGGAATATGAGTGAAATTTGCAACAAAATTTCTCTGTCGGTAACCTGATATAATATCTGCGCCAAAAATGCATCCAAATGTGGCCGTCGTCCGCCGTGAACACTGGCGCGCAGGTCAGGCCCTCCTGCTTCCTATGTAGCAATGGCCCCAGTGAATGTTCAGCGTGGCCTTTATCACTGTCCTGAAGATTAGCTTCTTCAAATAGTTTCTCTTTCCATACACATGTCCTTTAAAAATGTGTAACACTTCCTCTTCTCATAAAATAGGGAAAAATCAAGTTAATTTTCAAAAAATATCTAATTAACTCTCTGAAACAACTGCTCTGTTTCTGTACATTAAAACATATGATACGATAAAAACAGGTCTGCTTGCAAAATGTTCCTAGTCAACCAAACAAAATACGGGAAGGGGTCCTCTTAAGATAGGCAGAAAAAAAAAACAACTCATTCCTATGAATAGGTAAAATGCCAAAACTTTGATAGGGTGTAAGATCAAGGAAGCTGCCATATTTACCACTTCTACCAAGAGCAAGGGCATCTGAGAGTAGAAGCAAGTCATTCCTTTCAAACATGTCCCAGACAACTACTGAAATAAAACAAGAGTTTTCAGCCAGTGGCTTTCCAAAGTCTCTGGTCTGTTCTCCTAGAGGTCATGGCCAGCGCTGAGGTTGCTTCTGTGAATGCCACGTGTGTGTGTCCTTACTCAAGAGTCATTACTGCATGCAAACATGGGGAAATGCTGTGTCCTCCCGGTTCTCAGATGGGTACAGGATTGGGATTCACTACCGCTGTCTATGCTCTGGGCCTGTAGGCTCTGGACCCACCTGCCTGGACTCAAATCTTAGGTTCTACTTTAATCAGCTTTGTGACCTTGGGAAGGTCACTGGGCTTCGGTTGTCTCATCTTAACACAAGGGCACTGCTTACACTGTGCTTAGCACAGTGACTGGGACCCTAGAAGAACTTGAACTGTCAACATTCTTTTCTCTTCAACTACATGGGGAGACCTTGTCTCAAAAAAATAAGTAAATAAAAATAAATACATAAAGAGAGAAAGGTAAGACAAATATTTTGAGGGTGAGCCCACAGGAGTTGAGAGGATGTGGTGGTTGATTTTAGGTATTGCCCTGATGAATTTCTAAGTCTGCTTTATGGAACTCAGGAACTTTTTTTTTTTTTTTTTTTTAACATGGAAAAGCCCAACAGAGTCTCTAAGAAAGGGCTAAGAGGTAAAATTCAGCAGGTCACAAAACCTGAGGAAAAAGTGATTAGTGAGTGGGAGGAGCAGACGGAAAAACGGGCCTCAGGAGAATGACAGGTGAACCGGCAAAGGACATCACTACTGTCAGAAACAGCGGCAGGAGTTCGTGAATCAGTTTCAAGGGACACAAGTCTGAAAGTCAGGGCGGGGAACAAGTGCACACTGCTAGCAAGAGAGGTAGAAAGGGTTCTGCTGGGAAGAACTGAGGATGGCTGCCTGAACCTTTGGGTTGAGTAAGGACCCCAAATTGATGGGCAGTAGGAACCACCATAAGTAGAAAAGGACATGATGCGACTTGGATTTATGCAATGATAAGAGTATTACAGAGCCATGGACAGAGTTGGGTGTAGTGGCACATACCTGTAATCCCAGCCCTCAGGAGGCTGATGCAGGAGGATTGCTGAACATTCGAGGCCAGCCTGGGCTACACAGAGAGTTCAAGACCAGCTTCAACTACATGGGGAGACCTTGTCTCAAAAAAATAAGTAAATAAAAATAAATACATAAAGAGAGAAAGGTAAGACAAATATTTTGAGGGTGAGCCCACAGGAGTTGAGAGGATGTGGTGGTTGATTTCAGGCATTTGAAACACAGAATGTAGCCAGGCATAGTGGTGCAGGCCTGTAATCCCAGCACTCTGGGGGCGCTGAGGGTCACAAGTTCAGGCTTAGCCTGGGCAACTCAGTGACTTAATGAGAACCTGTCTCAAAATAAAAAAAAAAAAAAATCAAAGGATGGGGATGTAGCTCAGAGTGAAGACCCTGGGTTCAGTCCCCTATAGCAAGAAAAAAAAAAAAGTAGGCCAGGAGGACAGGACAGCCAGGCTGCCGGCGGACACGGGAGCTTAGGGAGCAGAACAGTCCCATGCTCAAGCAAGTCTGAGTCTTGCCTTGTTGAGTCTCTGACGACAAATGGACCATCTGCAAAGAAGCTGTGCAAATCAGGAAAGGGCTCTGCTGAAGATCAAAGTGGCCTACAGAGAACAGTCATCAGAAGAGCAGCTCAGAGACCACACCCCGAGACCAGACCTCAGGGGTAAAGGACAGCAAGGGGCAAAGCAGTCCAAAAGAGGCAGAGAAACAAAATACGGCCTCCTACAGTCCAGGCACATCTGGAGAGAGAATGGAGTCACAGGGAACAGCAGCTGAGGATGGGGAAGGGGTCCAGCCTGGCCAGCTGAGCCTCGTGGGATTTCCATGGAGCCAGGCAAGGGGTTGCCACAGGGCCAGTGAGCAGGAAGAGGAGGCATCAGGAAAAGCACGTCTCCCACCCCCACTGAAGAACAGGAAGAGAAGACGGGCTGCTAGTGGCCTCAGAAATCTGCTTCACTGACACGTCTGCTCACGGGCCTTTGTACTACTAATAGGAGCCATGTGAAGCAAAGCTTTACCCTCTTTCCTCCTGATGACCCTTCACATCTTTACAGAGGCTGCACTCATCACTTAAAGTCACGTCCTGTGCTTTTCACCCCACGTCCTACCACTTAGAGCTGTGTGACCATGGGAAGGCTTTGAGCCTAAGCTTTGGCGTCCTCCTCTGTGTATGAAACGGTGTGAATGACGGTCCCCCAGGGCAAGATTGCTGAGAGGAAAAAATGATATGCTGGGTAACTGCTTGGTGCAGCCCCAGGCACACTGCAAGTACTCAGTAAACGTCTCCTGTTTTCACCATTACCCCCAGGACCATCAGCAAAGTCCTCTGGTCCCTCGGCTCTTTCCCACAGGACAGTTTCAAGCTCTGCCTACTCGGTTACCCTGAGTGTCAGTCTATCCGATCCCTGTAAAATCTGGGCGCTGGCACTGAGCTAATGGTAGGACCTGACGAGCAAAGCCAAGACATTTGAAATAAGGCAGCCCAAAACCATGCTAGCAGTGTTGGAGTTCGCGTTGCGATACTGGTCAGCTCTCGCTGGTTCTTAGGGGCACAGCCAAGGCAAGTGTTCCTGACCAGGTTCGACCTTTACCCATTCTTATTAAATTCCACTGTGTTGTACTTGCCAATGGGTTCCTGCCTATCAGATGTTTTTATATCTTGATTCAGTCATCTAGTATAATTGTTCTTCCCAGTTTCCTGTTCCATGTTATTAAAGACCATAATTAAATTTTTTACAATGATTTTTTGATGTACCCAAAATAAAACAATTCCGGAAATTAGCCCCTAAAGCTCTTCTGTAACATCCTTCTTAGAGGCAGAATCACATTCCATTAGTTCGGGTATCTTAATCTACAAATAACAAAAACCTAATTCTAACCAATTTAAGCAGTAAGTGGAATCTAGTGGCTCACATAACCCAACAGTGGACAGGTAGGGGGAGTTTTGGGCATGGTGCAATGAAGGATTTGGCTTCATGTCTGCCATTTCCTCCGCTCTGGCCTTCTCTTATTTCTGTCTGTAATAAGGCTGGAGTTCTGGCAGAAGCAAATGTATGTATAGCGTTTGTAGGGCCCTGCTGTGCAGCCCTTGTATTTCAGGCCACCAGCAAGGTCTTCTCTTCCCATCACTGACAAGAGTCCTACACTTCATTTTGAACAACCAGCACCGAGCTCTGTGGCCAAGGCAACACTTTACACCGGCTGAGGAATCACAACTGCCTATTCATCAATCAATCATGGGGCAGCTCCTGCTCCTGGACCACACACACCCCACGGAAGTAAAATTATAGATCCTTAAAAGTAGTCTAAAGTGCATATTTTGCTGTAATTTAGCATGTTCTTCCCATTATTATCATGTGATTCTTTATTCAGGGATCAGCAAACTTTCTTCAAGGGCTAGACGGTATATATCGTTCAGCCCTCTGTGAGACAGTTGGCAAAGCCAGCGCTATTATGTATGTCCTTTTTGCAGCTACTTAAAATGTAATGATTTGAAAATGTATAAGTCATTCTTAGCTTGGGAACCATTTTTTAAAAGGATAGACTACCCAGATTTGGCTCCCGGATGGTAGTTTATTGACTCTTACTTTA